TCTCTCTCTCTCTCTCTCTCTCACATATCATTTATTCATTTCATCTAATCTATAGACACTTCACATAGGAGGGATGCAAAGAGGTAGCCCTGGGAGTGAAGCTTGGCTAACTGGTCAGTACTGTGCTCTTCAGAAGTGAGACTGGCCACAGAGCTGCAGAGGAGGCAGCGGTCCGTTTACTGACCATCTCCTGAACTGCGCTTATGGGAAAATGCAAAGATGAAAGTGTGGCCAGTTCCAGAAAAGAGGGTGGCATGGGTCATGAGAGCTTTGAAATGCGGGAGGCGACAATTGCGCCTGCGGCCTAACACAAAGCAAGCTGAGAGGGATCTTAGAAACTGTAATCTTTCTTTTCATCCGGTTGTTTTATGGGTGAGTTTTGTCTCCATCAAGTTCTCTTTGAGCTTTTCTTTTCACCTTAGTGGAGGGTTGGGCATATTAAGCCTTGATAGCAGTAGCTCTGGTCTAGAGAGCAATCCTTTGAGCAAGAGTAAGCAAACCCAAGGAGCTGGCTCCAGGTCCGAAACAGCATCCGAGAGCCCCACGCCCTCTCTCTGCCTGCAGCTGCACCCTCAGCGCCAGGAGAACCCACAGCCAGGAAGGAGAAACAGAGCCGCCCTTTATGCCACGGGAACTGCTCTGGGCTCCTCGCCTCTTCTGTTTCCATCGTTCCCAACTTGGACTATTATGGTATTTCCTGAGCCATTTGCTCAAGTCTCCAGGAGCCAGTTACTCGTCTCCAATGTACCCTGAAGATTTCTTCCAGAAACACCTCCCAGAGCACAGCCATCGCCAGGCCCGTTCTGCTTCGGTGGTTTCCTTGCAACCAAATGAAGAAAATTCCCTGGACTGGCATTCACGGGTTTCCATAATGTGTCCCTACTTACCCAATAAAGACATGCAGGCAATTACAACAATACGAAGCATAGAGTTATAGAGTTAAAAGGGGGTTCCCATCCATTCCTCAACTCCCGTTCCCTGAAGCAACCGTTCTAACAATGTCCCCCTCTTTTTTGTAGCCTTATTTCTCCTGACTTCCTGTATATCTCCAAGGCCTCAGCTAAACAAATATCCCTGCCAACTCTACACATTTTTCCGTGTCCTGTTCCCAAACCTTTGTTCATAACATTCTTTAAACCTAGAATGTTGAGACCCTTCTTCCCTCCATCTTTGAATACCCAATTCTGCCAATCTTTTCAAACCTAACTTCCATGTCACTGGCTCTGGAATGCTTTCCCCGATCTACTTATTGAAATTCATCTCTTCTCCGCTGAATTCCCATAGCACTACTTCTAGTCCCTGCTTAGAGCACTTGCTGCTTTAATTTCTGCTCTTTGTACGGAGCCAGCCTCCTTTACTGAAGTGTAAGGGTGCAGAGCCAGAGAGCATTCCTCAGTTCACCTCGGTAGCCCCTGCAGCTGTGCCCTTGGGCCTTCTGTGAACGTCCTCTGGAGAGTGAATAAACGCTCCTGGAGTAAAAGAAACAAGCCCGGAGCTGTAGCTTTGGCTTTCAATTCACCTTTTACTAGTAAAATGCCAGTGACATCACCTGTGATGAGTGGGCTCTGTTACCATCTCAAAGAGTTGAAGGGCGGGGTGGAAGAGGGGCTGCAGAATACTGAGGGCTCAAGGTGACTATTTGGAGCTTACAGTCAGAGAACTGAAACAGGAAAAAAAAAAAATCCAAACAAACCGAACCCCAAACAACAAAAAACTAAAAAAGAAAAAAACCCAACCCAAACAAAAAACTCGCACCCAAACAAACTATAAAACTCCTGCTATTTTAAAGAGAACAATATGACTCTTTCAAACTGGAAAGCTGAACAACCCCTCCTATTATTTCAATAAAACCAAAACAGACATTTAACCTCCAAAACAACAACAAAAGCCCAGCGCCTCGCCTCGCCCCTCCTCCGCCGCCGCAGCGGCTGCGCAATGACCAGGATTCTCCAGGGAACCGTGAATTCGGTTTCACGTTCTTTCAACAGGAGAAGCTTGAAAGGAGTCATTTTCAGCATAAAGTGGGGGTAAGTGGAAGAAGGGGGTCACCAAAAAGGGGAGACAATTTCACAAGGTCTCGGAGTACAAGATGGCCAAACATACTTGCTTTCCACATTAAAGACAGCCCCGGGGATGGTGAATGGAAACGGACAACACCGACATAAGGCAGAAATACTTTCCAAGCAGCATGTTAATGCGTTTTTGAATCTGGTTTAGAGTACACAAGCTGCTTGTATAAAATAACGCTCTAATAAAAGCCGAATCAGCTCCGAGGACCTTAAACATTGCCACAAGCTATCCCATTACCTGTTGCCTTGCGGCATGGGCTCATCCACAGCAATTTTCATCCCACCTGTAGTTTTGCCAAAAAATAAAATCAATCCCCCAGCAATCCCTCCTCCACGGCTTAGATCATTATCAACCCATTTGTGAGCCTGCTCCTCCTCAAAGTTATTGCTAGAACTGTATCCAGTGACAGTTAAAACAACTCAAAAACCCTTTCAACTGCAAGGCTTTGTGCCAAAACTCTTTTACCTCATTTGTACTTGGACTTTACAAACAATTTCCATTATTTTTTCAGTGATTTTCTATTCAAGTAAACTTAACTCATTCTCCAAACAAAACTATAGTCTTTCTCGATGGCAGTATCGAGAGAAGAAAAGAGTGACTGAGAGTTGACTGTAATTATGAGTTAGGAGAGAGATTATGAGCTGCTGTGGGGGAGGAGAATTATGAGAAGAGAGATGGTGTGGCCAAGAGAAAACAGAAATAGAGAGGGCCTGGTGCACACGGCGAGGGGTTGGGCAGAGACATCCGAGGCCATGTCTGCACAGCACATGGTGTGCATCTTTGGAAAAGGCCAGTAGACAGAGTTCCTTCCCTCATGAGCCTGGGGTTCTTATGTGGGAACTCATTGGGACCTTTCATGTTGGCAGACACGCCAAGATGATGTTCCTGTGGCAACAGTGCCTCTCGCTACAGTGCTGAGAGGCCCACTTCTCTACCTCCATGGAGAGCCTCCCCAGCCCCCTAAACACCAGGGGGCTAATATCACCCTACCCACCCACTCCCAGACACACACATCTACACTAATAAAGAAGAAAGGTACATATTGGCCGTACCTTCATGATGCCCACCAGCCAATCAGAAGTGAGTATGCAAATTAACCCAACAAAGATGGTGGGTTAATTTGCATATGCAGGCGCTGAGTGGTGAGGGGTGGGGTGGATGTTCTGGGCAGTGTGGGAAGGCAGAAAGGTGGCTCCAGCTGGAGCAAAGATGGTGCCGGCAGCCAGGGGAAGGAAGGCCCACTCTTGCACGAATCTTCATGCATCAGGCCTCTAGTATCCTTTATAAAGGCACCAGGCCCTTTTACTCCACTTCCTAAAGGCTTATGATCCCCCACCTCTCTCTTCATCCCATTCTTCGCACTGGACTAGGATAACGGCCTTCTCATTGCATGTGCAAACTTGGTGTCCTCTGCCAATCTGTTCTTCCCAGCCTCTCACTCCACAATGCCAACCATCCTGGCCTCTCGCTTCCTAAAATGCTCCTTTCTCCCACAAAGGCCCTGAAAACTACCCAAGTGATTGTTCTGCTTGCAACATTCCTTCCCCACACTCCCCCCCCCCATGTCCCTTTTGGATCTTTCTGGGGTTAACTGGAGCCCGAGTCCTGGTGTGTGCTCCCTCAGTAACAGAGCGGCATGCTTTGTAGCTCATTGTTCAAGGCGTTCTGAGGTCAGAGACAGTGTTTGCCCATGTGCACCCTCGTTTGTAATATGGGGTAAAACAAGAACTTAGGTAAGGGTTAAGCAAGTTAATTCAGGTAGAGAACTTTGAATAGCCCCTGATACATACAAGGGCTATGTATGCTTTAGTTATAATAATAATAATTAGCACAGTACCTAGAAAAAAGTGTGTACTCAATAAATAGGTGTTGAAGGAATAAAGGAATAAACAAATCCTATATAACAAAAGGGTGATATGCAAATTGAACAAACAGCAGAACAACCGGAATGCCCATGGCCCCTCACCCTGGCTGGCCCCACCCCTGAGCGGGCACCCTGACCCCAATCAGGGGTGGGGCCAGCTGGCCAACCGCCTGTGGCCCCTTGCCCAGCCGGCCTGCCCCCGATGGCCCCTATCGTGTATTGGGCCTCTAGGAGATGAATGAATGGATAAATTCACCCGCCCAGAGGGCTGCTTACTTTTCTAGCCTGCTGTTACCCATCATAGAGTACAGGTGTGCCAGCTGGAGCAGTCACAGGAGTAACGCCCCTTCCTCTCCACAGCCACTACAATAAATGCTAAAACAGCATTTTTGGTTTTCTATGACTTTGAATTTATCCTACCTACACTTTTACTAAAAAAAATATTCAAAGCAAGAAGATTTGGAATTAAAAGGTAAAAGGGTTCAAATATATGGTAACGGCCGGAACCTAGACTTCAGGTGGGAGCACGTGGTAGAGTACACAGATGTCAAATTATAACCTTGCATCCCTGAAAACTATGTATGTTGTGAACCAATGTTACTCCAATAAATTTAATTTAAAAGGCGATAAAGGGATATAATATCACAATCTATATACCCAGGCTTCTCAATTTTGTCTTTATAAACGAAACAATCTCTTTCTGGGTGAGACCAGGCTCGAATTATTCCTAAGTCAAATCCTTTAGGAAACCTTGCATGTCAGGGCACCATCCCAACAAACATTTACACAGAAAATGTTTACACAGAAAATGTCAACTGATGTTGTCGAAAGGGAAGCGTTTAAACCTTTGTTCTAGTACATTCCACACTTCAGATTCTTCCAAGTGTTCAAGAGAAAGGTATCAGCCACAACAAATATTAGTAATAATAAAAGTAAGAATTACAATGATGAGTGTAATGATAAAGTGATAATTGCTTACACTATTTCTACTTGTTATTTTGATGTGCAATTTATGATATTCTATATCAGGTTCTATAATCTATATTTATAAATAAACATCACCGACCTGTTTTTCTCTGGAGCAAACTGGATCTGTGCCCAAAAGTGGTGGCATCTTGGGCCTGTGTGGGAGCTGAGGGCGGCAATGTCCTTGGGCCCTCCGGGTTCCCTGCGGGGAGGGGCGAGTTCTGTGCGCGTCTAGATTCGTTTCTATCTGCGCCAGATGCGTGGAGGGCATCCTGAGCTTTCTTCTTTTCCTTCTTTAACATATTGACCAGAATATCTGAGGCGTGACTTAAGGATTTCACGGCTCATGTTAGATTACAATGATCGGAACATGAATGTTTCCAATGAGATTAATATTATCAATAATATTCACTATTTTCCATGCGGTGAAGACTGACTAGAGGAAGGCTTCAATCTCCTGGAGTCACGGGTGGCGCCATGGGCGCTGGGAGGGCACTGGTCTTCCACTGCGGTGCCATCGTGGGCAGATAGCCAGCCCAGAGCTCAGGAGCATGCTCTGAGTGTAACCCGGTGCAGCCTTACCATTGTTATGAAAGGTTTATAAAGATAAAGTGAGCACTGACAGGCAGTAGGCAATGGCTCTAGGAACATATCAGTGAGCAAATTAGAGTTAACCCAGGAGGCTGCTCAGCAGCGCCGAGAGAGAAAACCCAGAACCCGCCCTGCTGGGGAGCGGCCAAATCAATCCTGGTGCCCAGAGCACCTCGAGGCTTCGTTAACATACCTTCACGTGGGCTTAAAGTCACTTTGTTTAAAATACATAATTTTGGGTCTGACCTTGAACTGGAAAGAGGTAACTTATTAGTATAAATAGTCATTTTTAAGGGCATTGATATTTAGATATATTATGGGAAATGATGGTAAGAGAGAAAATCATTGCATTCTACCCCACCTCACTTATCTGTTGTGCTCAGCACCCCCAGAACCCTAGGGGGTTCTTGCCATCATTCTAAGGAGAAGCTATAGTCCCTCTTGAGAATGGCAGAGCCCTGACTGCACATGCAGGAAGACCAATTCAAGACCTTCGCCAGCCCTGTAGGCGGCTTCATTCATGCAAGAGTTTGAGAGAATGCGAGGACAGTGCAGGAGAGAAGACTGACTCTCAGAAAGGAGAGGAAGCGTCCGGTTACACTTATTCTTGGGCAAGTAACATGGAAATCACTTGCCCTCCACCTTCTCCTCTGCTTTGACTCCAACTTTCCCATTTCTGGAAGGATAATCAGTTTTTCTCTTATAATCCCAATGTGGCTCCTATTCTTTTGCCTTTAAAAAACTTGTACCCAGCAAAGGTGCTCACACCTCTGTGAGTCTGACATTGGCCTGACAGAGAGAAACGGGGCTCTGCCCGGCTCTTCCACTCCTCATTGTGTTATCAACAGCAGCAGACATCCGCCGGGTTCACGCACTGCAATGGCAACCTGCTTTCTTTTCCCGCCCAGCGATGCTCACGGGAGCTAGTGCTGTGTGTCAGGCTGTGTTCCAGGGACGGGAATATATGATACCAAGGCAGCACCTCATGAAGCAGATGTCCTAGTGGGGAAGGCGGGTCACACACACGCAGGCATAGACACATGCATGCATAGACACACACATGCATAGACACACATGCTTACACATGTTAGAGAGTAAAAGTGCTTATTTAAAAAGGCCAAGATCAACTGAGTGGCTGCTCTGCACTGGGCGCCACCCTTTCTGAGAGTGATGTTTTTATGCTGAGATCTGAATGGCAAACAGAATCAGGCACAGGAAGGGGGCCTCCGCAGAGGGAATGGCCGGGGCAAAACCCTGAGGAGAAATGGCATGGCGGTGGTTCCCCAGCAGGGGCCACTTTGCCACCAGGGGACATTTTTGGTTGTCACACTGGAGTGGGGGTAGGTGCTGTCACTGAACTCCGGTGGGTAGAGGCTGGCGGTGCTGTGAACCCTCCCGGGATGCATAGGAGAGGCCCCTGGCTCAGCACTGCGCAGCCCAGACGGCAATGGTGCGAACCTGCAACACCCTGTGTTAGAACAACGACAACAAGGTCACTGTGACTGCAGCCTGACCCAGGGGTCAGAGGTACGAGAAGTGAAGTCAGGGGGTGGGGGGACACGATCACGCAAGGCCTCATGGTCTGGAGGACACAGTCTGAGCAGAATTCCAAGTTTGATGGGAGGCCCTGGAAGACTGCGACCACGTGTTTTGGTTCCTATTTGATAAAGCTCACAACACAAAGCTACCTACCGTCTTCTCATCTTTCCTGTCGTCTTCCCCTTCCCGCTCTGTTTAACGTGGGCCTTCCTTCGTGCCCAGCGCTGTACGGGGACTAGGGGACCCCCGTTACATTTTCTGAAAGGGCGTTAGAAGGGGTGTTCATACTGAACACAAACACAAAGCTACCTACCGTCTTCTCATCTTTCCTGTCATCTTCCCCTTCCCACTCTGTTTAACGTGGGCCTTCCTTTGTGCCCAGCGCTGTGCAGGGACCAGGGGAACCCTCCCCCCCCCATTATGTTTTCTGAAGGGGCGTTAGAAGGGGTGTTCAAACTGAACATGACACTAAAATGACATCATTTTCACTCTCTTTCCAAGACAAACATTCAACGCCGTCCACGCATTTTGGTCGCATTGCTGTCTCTCGTTGACCTCGAGAGTTAGCACTTTTTCCCTGTTAAGCCATGTCTCTCTTATGCCTGTCACAATCTTGGCCCTCTTGGTTCTACAAAAAAATATATGAAAATATCCCCCAACCCAACTGTGAGAAACGATGGGGTCTCAGGAGGCTTTCCCGGAGAGGGCTCTTGCTAAGTGTCGACGCTGTGAGGCGTGGATCTACCTGCTCTTGCCCTTCCTCTGAGCTCCCCGCTGTCTGAGACGCATGTCTGTCTGTCCCGCCGCCCAGCGCCCTGCCATGCCCAGGGAGCCTCTCAAGGCTCTGCTCTGAACGTGGGCTGGCAGGCAGGCCACTCCTCCCGGAACGGAGTGGAGCCAGTGCCTGGAGAGCTAGGAGTGAGTCTGGGTGCGAGCTTTAAGCTCAGTGTTCTCTTCCCCAGGCCTCCCACCCACCATCATTTTGAATGAGTCTCAGAGGGAGGGGACCCTGCTCACGTGACTGGCAGTCAGGAAGGAGTCTATGTGGCCCCATGGACCGCAGTGGAGAACGGAGATGCCGTGTGGCTCTCTCTCACTCTCTTAAAATAACCGTATACACACCGGCCTGGACTGCTCCCTCCCTGTCACACCTTGTTTCATCCTCCTCGATGCACAGACAGCCATCAGCCCAGAAGGGGATTAGGAAGTTGGCAGGAGTAGTTAGGGCTGATTGAGAAGATCCTCAATCAGGACCAAGGCCAGGAAAAGCAGCGGAGCTCAGCTGGGGCCGGGCCAGCACCGAGGTCCAGGCTGGGACGTCTGGGGGGGAGGGAGGGAGGGGAAAGGAATGCCGGGCGACACTGCCTGTGGCCCACAGGGCCTGTGTGGGGGTGTCCCTCACAGGGAGCCTCGCTGCTGGCTGGCCATGAAGCAGCTAGCGCTCATTCGAGTCAGACATACAGGGTCTGCTAATTCTCAACTAAAACGAGAGGCTGAAGTTAAGCAGGCAGCGTGCCTACCTCCTATTGGTGGTGCATGTGCTTTTGTTCCGTTTACCTCCTTGTTACTGGACTCCCTTCATGTGTAGGTTATTTTTATGCATTTTGCACGATAGCTGAAGCTAAAATGCCTTTTAGTAATTTTTTCAAACGTGAGCCAAAATACCTGTTCATAAAGAACTGACCAAAATAATGTCTTGTGTATGTTTAAAGTCTGAAAATGTAACAAAAATGTCAAAATCTTTCATGAGAAGCTTGAAAGATAAAATAGAAAACAATACTGAGGACATGGGGAGACCTGAGGTCTCCCTCCACCAACAGGGGCTCTTGCAGTAACCACCTCGCTGTCCCCGGAGGCCACTCCCAGCATCCACCACGGTCAGCACCCTAAACACACCGCCTCCCGGGGCCCGGGGAGTCCTGTCTTGAACACTCACACACACTTGCTTCCAAATTTGGGAACATCTGTAAGTGGAATCCGAAGCAGTAGATCTGGCATTTAAATGAAAAGTTACATTTAAATCAATCTCTGCTCTTCATAAGCTAAATTCCATTTGTCGTGTTTCAGCCATCATTTCAGTCTCACCCACACACAAGCCACAAATTCTGGGCCATGGTGAGGCTGTGGTCAGCCCGGTGTCCGGTCAGCTAGCTAAAGATAACCAGTTAGCTGACTGGCTCAGGACTGAAGCAGAAAGGGCACTGCAGAGCAGTCAAAAATATTCTTAAATTTTAATGTGAAAAGACGGTGTACAAAAGCCCACACTTTTCAATAAACTGAAATTTTTAGTCTCTCTCTCTCTCTCCCTCTCTCTCTCTCTCTCTCTCTATATATATATATATACATATAACAGAAACATTATAGTAACTATTACATCTGGCTAAAAACAAAGTAAAGATTTTTCAGTTGTTGCTCCATTTTGTTTGCAGAAGGGCTGGGGTTCCGGCCGCCATCTTGGCTGTCAGTTAATTTACATATCTCCCTGAATAGCCAATGGGAAGGGTAGCGGTCGTACGCCAATTACCATGTTTCTCTTTTATTAGTGTAGATTTTAAAAAAAGACATCTTAGAGAGATTAAAAATGGCAGCAGAGTAAGTGGATGCTGCATGGACATGCTCCCACGAACAAACTGGTATTACATGTAAAATACAGAAAAACATCCTGAATAATCAACAAAAAACTCGGCAGGAGGGAACTCTGATATCTGAGGACCAAAAGTGGAGACAGCATAGAGACTGGTAGGAGGGGCAGAAGCGAGAAAGGGCTGTCCCTTCACCCACAGTCCGCAACTGAAATCCTGGAGAGATATCTTAGCTGTGGTGCAGGGAGGGGTGCTACTGAGAACTCTGGGATCTAATCCTGAAGCTGGGCCCCCCAGCAGAGAGCACCAAACTGAGAAGGGTACCCAGAACTATTACATCTGGCTAAAAACAAAGTAAAGATTTTTCAGTTGTTGCTCCATTTTGTTTGCAGAAGGGCTGGGGTTGCTCAGTGGTTGAGCATCAAACTATGAACCAGAAGGTCAAGGCTCAATTCTCGATCAGGGCACAGGCCCGGGTGCAGGCTTGATCCCCAGTGGGGGCGGGGGCGGGGGGGGCATGAAGGAGGCAGCCTGTCTCTCTCTCCCTCTTCCTTCCTCTTTGAAATCAATTATATATATATATATATATATTTTTTTTAGTGGAGACAGGGTCTTTTTAACACTACTCAAGTAAGGTTTTTCTTGTAGGCATCCTCATCAGCTGTCTTGAATTCTTCATTTGCACACACCATTCACTGGGTGTGGACCCATCAATTCACTTTGATGTAACTGTCAAAGAGAAGTTATACCAAAGGTCTTTCATTTCCTCAAAGAAAGATATTTTTCAGAGGTATCTAAGATGGCCTAAAATATCATGTTTCTCCTATCTGCTTTTCTCTTCCTCATTTCCTTGGACCAAGTAACCTCTCCCTCTATATGCCTGCCTATCTATCTATCTATCTATCTATCTATCTATCTATCTAATCTATCATCTATCTATCTGCTATCTATCTAATCTCTTTCTGCTCTATCTATCTAGACCAGCGATGGCGAACCTATGACACGCGTGTCAGAGGTAACACTCGAACTCATTTTTTTGGTTGATTTTTCTTTGTTAAATGGCATTTAAATATATAAAATAAATATCAAAAATATAAGTCTTAGTTTTACTATGGTTGCAAATATCAAAAAATTTCTATATGTGACATGGCACCAGAGTTAAGTTAGGGATTTTCAAAATGCTGACACGCCGAGCTCAAAATGTTTGCCATCACTGGCATAGAGACTGCTAGGAGGGGCAGAGGTACAAAAGGGCTGGCCGGGCAACCACAGACAACAACTGAAGTCCCTGAGAGATATCTCAGCTGTGTGTGTGGGGGGGTGCCACTGAGAACTCTGGGATCTAATCCCGAAGCTGGGCTCCCCAGCAGAGAGCACCAAACTGAAGAGGGTGCCACATAACATCTAGCTGTGAAAAGCAGTGGGGTGCTGTCTGCCAGGGAGTGGCAACTGAAAGTTCAGGAACTCTCTTAAAGGGCCAATGCACAAAAATTCCCTGTGGAGCCACCCACCTTGTGCTCTGGCAGAGGAAGGGTGAAGTGGACTGGAGCTGTGAGAGCAGAAGCCAAGACTGGGGACTTGGGGGATAGAGCTCAGAAGGCAGACACCCCACGTTTCCTGGGCTGAGCCATTCCCTCACACAGTGGAGGACATCTTTCCCACATAGACATCTGCCTTGCCTGGGAGGAAGACAATCGACACGCCCTATTGGAAAACACCTTGCCCTGAGGCCACTTAAGAGACTAAAAATAGCAACTGCCTCACCCTGTTGAAAAAACTCTCGCCACACCTGAGGATGATTGCCTGGGGGGCAAGTCAAGTCAGAATCCTATTAGTCTATAGGCAGAGGTGATCTCTGGAGGCTTTGAGTCTATGCCTGTTCCAATCATCAGAAACAGCTTTTAACACTGTCCTGCACTAGAGATCGAGAGGTGGAGAGTATTTACCTAATACTCAGTCACAAACCCAGAAAGACAACCAAAATGAGGAGACAAAGAAATAACCCCCAAATGAAAGAACCAGAGAATTCTCCAGAAGAAGAGATAAATGAAGCAGAGACAAGAAATTTATCTGAATCAGAGTTCAGAGTAATGATGGCAAAAATGCTCAACAGCATGAAAAAAGATATAGGAACTATGAAAAAAGAACAGTCTGAGATAAAGAATGAATAATACAAATAAAGAACACATTGGAAGGAATACACAGCAGATTAGGGGAAGCTGAGAATCAAATCAGTGAATTAGAAGACAGAGTTGAAAATATCACTCAATCAGAGAACCAAAAAGAAAAAA